CCTTAATCATCACAGCCATATCTAATACAAAACAAACTATGGCCTTCATAATGGCTGCTCTAAGACTCTTGCACTGCCTGTTTTTTTGTTTTCAATGCACTTGTTTTTATGTGATGTTTTGATTAATAATTATTTTTAATACGAATTTTATTCCTGGTAGCTTCCTTGAGTGCCTTTTCTGGATGAGAAGGTAGAGCATTAAATAAAAATATTGGCATCATTATAAATTAAGCCCAAAGAGTGTATAGTCTGTGACTGACAAAATGAAGCTGTCTTACTGGATGGTACTTTGGTAAACAATGATTAAGTTACAGTCCTGCTATTTAAAAATTGGTTTTATGGTGACAATCCAGTTGCATAGCTCTACCTTGTACCACGGAAGCAACATCACCACCACCAGCAGACTGCCAATAATTTAAGAGCTGCTTTTTCAGTTTCAGTTACACGACTCACATAGAATGACAGGAAGCTGCATACATCTTGAAATCTAAAAAAGAACTCTTTAATTAGCAACATTCTGCCACTGCTGGTGATATCCACTGCTGGTGTACATGAAGAGGTATGCAACAGGATATAAGCTTAAATTTTAAATTTATCTAGTATGCAATTCTATGTAACCTATCTGGGAGTAACAGAACTTATTTTTGAGTAGATAACGGAACATTACATTCACCAAGATTCACTGAAATTAAGGACATTTTCACAAATTACAAAAGCATTGTTTGAGTATCTCTTGGATTATCAACACAATGTTTAACATACTGTATTTGTATGTTTAAGGCAGAAAGTTAATTTCTAAACTAAATGCAGTTTTATTCATTTTTATAGTTTTTGGTTAAAAATGTAGGTTACAAAGTATATCAAATACAAAAATGGTATAAAACATAAACAGCACTAAAATTACAATTTAAAAATTAGCTGACAACGACTGCTCAAGTCCTTAAAACAGCAGCCTAAGTTAGAAGTCTAAAGCTTACTGAAATTAAACACTTTTTTAAATAAAACCTACACCTACACAAAATGCCCCCCCCCTAAAAAAGTGCTTTTCTGCCACCTTAACAGTTCAACATTACACCACCGCAATAAGGGGAATGATAGTCATCCCACAGTATTATATGACATACCCACTTACCCCAATCCTGTAAAGGCAACCAGATACTGTATAATGAAAACAGAATTTGTAAGACAGAGTCTTTGGATTTATAAAGTGTTGTGTAAGATGACAGCAATGTAAATGTGCTGGACTATCTCCTTCATGCTACAAGAGCACAGTTTTCTCTCTCTTTTCTTTTCATCTAGTGAGCATTAACTGGTAGGATCACTCAAGTTGTTTAGAAGAAATATATTCCATCATTAGTTGGATCCAGATGTACAGCTTGGAAACAAGTACTTAAAAGTAACAATTTCCATGCTAATTATTTATCCCCTCTCCCCCGACAAGAGCTAACAAGTGAGTGCTAATAGTTTGGAAATGCCCAGTCACTTTCTCTCTCAATGAGGTTTAACAAGTGAACTTGCTGGTTAACAGCAAAGGAGATCTCTGTGCCACAGTGGAATGAGGTTTTGCCTCTTACTCACTGCAAGGGGTGGCTGCAAGACAATTCCATCTATGGCGGTCCAAACACTGGGACTGTTAGAAACAGAGACATCGCGGATTGAACTGCCTTCCAGATTACACTCTAACACTGATCTTTGCAAATGAAATTTATTAATTCTAAGTGAGGAAGGAGGTAGAGGATAGATGAATTCAGTACTGCAGGAAGGTTTTCTGCATATGCTCAGAGGCACTCAAACCATTTCTGATCAAGAATTCCCCGCTCTTGATTCACCTTTGTAATCTGTTGTTGTTGGTCGTTTAGTCGCGTCCAACTCTTCGTGACCCCATGGACCAGAGCACGGCAGGCCCTCCTGTCTTTCACTGCCTCTCGGGGTTGGGTCAAATTCATGTTGGTCGTTTTGATGATACTGCCCAACCACCTTGTCCTCTGTCGTCCCCTTCTCCTCTTGCCCTCATACTTTCCCAACACTAGGGGCTTTTCCGGGAAGTCTTCTCATTAGATGGCCAGAGTATTACAGCCTCAGCTTCATGACCTGTCCTCCCAGTGAGTATTCAGGTTCAATTTCCTTCAGAATGGATAGGTTTGTTCTCCTTGAAGTCCAGGAGACTCTCAGAAGTCTCCTCCAGCACCACAGTTCAAAAACATCAATTCTTCGGCAGTCAGCCTTCTTTATGGTCCAGCTCTTACTTCCATACATCACTACTGGAAAAACATAGCTTTGACTATGCGGACCTTTGTCAGCAAGGCGATGTCTCTGCTTTTTAAGATGCTGTCTAGGTTTGTCATCACTTTCCTCTGAAACCTTTTTAATTACCACACTCTATTTCAATACTGCAGCATTCTCTAACTGGAACAAATATTGTATCCCTTATTCAATCCAGACAAATAATTGTGTTTAAAGGGTGAGTAAATATCATATATATTGATGAAGTTAGGTGGAAATAGAAAGAGCAGGCAGCTCCTTGAAGAAGAAAAAACTTAAAGGAGTAACTTATTAAACTGCATGATTTTTTTTAAGAACAGCATTTCCCAACCAAGCAGTTTATATATGCCTTGCAGCAGAAATCCTGCAAGCCGCCTGCATCAAATTATGACACGCAGAATCCAATGCATGTGGAAAGTTAAGGATTGAGGAAAGCAACTTTTGTAACTACCTCAAAAAAGGATGATTTTGAAGGTGACAGTAACAAAACGTGCTACTAGGGGGCAGCAGTGAAAACAAAAAGTACAGGTATCTGCAAGTCTTATGGTTTCCAAGGATTCAGAACGGGAATAAGTCATTGGTGTTGAGAATTGTGGGAACTCACTTGAATTCCACAAAAAAGCGCAGCAGGAAGCGCCAGCAGGTTGGGAAGAATTAGCTAGAAGTTCCCTTTGACTACCCGCCCCTCACCAAACACTAGCACTCAAAAATAACACTCAGGAGGCCTTTTTTGTATTAGAGAAAGAATTCTATATTGTACTCACATGGATAAGCATTCAGAAGGTTTCAGGTCGATACAGAAAGAGAAAGGTAGCAAAAGACAGTGTTCTTCTCCTTGGCCCACGTGGCTGGAGAGATCTCCAGGCTCAGAGAGCCAGCCTGGAGGTGTTACATCTTCCCAGGTGAAAAGGGTGTGCGAGAATGGTAACAACAATGGAGGTCTAAACACCTCATGGCAGAAGGGCTGGAAATAGAGGTGCAGCCTCCCTAGCCCGGGAACAACAAACTCCCTCTAATTGGTTAGTATGCAAACAAACAGGTAAACAAGTTACTCTGTGTGCTGAAGGCCCTTCCCCTTAGAAATTTACATCTAGATTGCTTGACCATCCAACAATTGGTAACACACCAAAATAAATTATGCTCCTCCCAACATCAACTGCACATTGCTTTCCCTGTTTCCAACCATCATTCTCAGCGAATTAATTTTTAAAAAGGCAACATTCCGACTGCCAACTAGGAGACAAGTCCTGGAAACCTCCAAGCCATGAAGTGAGAAGGGGCGAGTGGGAAGGGTGTCTGTGATGGCGGGAACAATCCCTCACCCAGGCACTGGCACAGGAGGCGAAATTCCAGGCGTTTTACCTGATAGCTGCCATCATTGCTTGTCGGGGTCCGAGTTTGCTTTTCAGGCTGAGGGGAGCGAATAACGTGGAGCTGCTGCTGCAGCTGCGGGTGCAGGCGCGGAGTAGGGCGAGCTGCGAGAAGCTGCACGTTCTAGGCTGAGGGCTGGGCCGTCTCTGGGGGGCTTGTGTCTGCAGCTAGTATATGTGTGTGTGTGTGTGTGTGTCTTGTCGCCGTTTGCGCGCCTTGTCCTGGCTCATCTCTTGCCTCGGTTCTTCCTCCTGCTGCTGCTGCTGCTGCGCCCCCCCCCAAAAAAATATTGCCGCCTTTTTCTCTGGGCGCGGGGAGAGCGCCTGCGCCTTGAGCTGTGGAGGCGGCGCCGGCCGTGGCGCCCGCTGCGTCTCTCTTGGGGCCAAGCGGCGCTTAAAGCTCCTACGGTAGTACGTACGGGAAGCGGCCAGCCTGATTCCGGTGCCGCCCGAGTCAGCCTTAATTTCCCAGGTGCTTGTTTTCAACGACTCCACCACACTCCGCGAAGGATTAAATTATTTAAGTAGAAAAAACATCAGTCCACGGAGTCGTTTTCCTTTGTGAAGCGCAAGCCGTTTTTGACAATCTGGCAATTCGGAGCCTTGGCTTTTCTAGAAGCTCAGCCTTGCATGTTCATCGTCCACGTCTGAATCAATTATCGCGGTTCAAACATCAAAGCCAGGGCTCCCGATGCCATCTTATATCACCGGGGGCCTCAAGGTTTCCCGGTGAGTCTAAGATGCATGAAGAATCCTGGAGCGTCCAGGAGTGTTAACGGCACAGTCGGCCAACCAACGTTCAATCTGCCCCCCCTGCACCCACCTACCTGACAGTCAAGAATCACTGGAATCAGCGGGACCTGCTTCTGAGTAGGCACATAACAAAGAGCTCTGTGGCACCTTGAAGGCTGCCGAGTTTGATTCGGCGTCAGCTTCGGGGGACCGCAGCCCATCTCTCTCTTCAGGTGCATCTGAAGAAAGGGGCTGCAGTCCAAGGCACGCCATTACGTAAAGGCTGCACCGGGCTTTTTGCTGTCTTCCCCGCAGGCGGCCTAACACGGCCTACGGCCTCCTTCTTAAGCGGCTAGACCTCAGGGCTGCCGCTAATGCCGTCGGCTGAGCGACGGAGGCCGTGTCTACCCCGCCTTTCTCAGGAAGGCGCCGAGAGTGAAGAGACCGAAGGAGGCTCCTCTCCCACACGCCCAGTTCCGCGTGTCTGAAAGGGGAGCCCTCAGCTTGACGCGGTGTAGGGCCCTCGTTCTCCGCAGGTGTTCTTGGACTGCCGTTCCCAAAAGCCGCCTTCCGCACCAGCTGTGCTGGCCGAGATTTCTGGGAATTGCAGTTCAAAAACACCGGGGTTACCCAAGGTTGGCCACCCCTGGTTTAGAGTCTCCGTTCAACCTCGGGAACCTCCAAGGCAAGGCTGGGCCAGGAAAGGCTTTTCTTGGCAAGTCGCCACCCGACAGTTAAGAGGGGGGGGGCAAAGGAAGGCCAGGGTCCGCCTATGCTATGGACTCGTTTTCCTAAACTGTGGAGACCAAAGGGGAGTGCGTGAAAGAGGTTAGGATCGCTGGCTTCTGGATGGTTTGTTGTGCGCTTCCCACTTCTTTACAATCACATTCAAACCGGCTTCCACAGTAAAGAGTCCAGACCTGCTCTCGCTCTTTTCTGCGCGAATTACTTCTGTCAGAGCCAGAGGAAGCGCCTTGGACTCCATCAGGCAAGGCTTGCGATTCCCATTACAACGCCGGGCTCTGCGGCACCGGCAGAGTATCCCCCCCTCCCAGCAGGCGCACGTAGAAAAAGCTGGACTCTCTCTCTCTCTTTGAAATCGGAGTTAAAATGTTTATCGGGGTTTCATAAGGCCGCAATCCTATTGGCACCTAAGTGCAGCCCCATTTGAAGTATGGGATGGATTTTTCAATAGACACGCAGAGGGTTACATTTCACATCTTATTGAGCTTGTTCAAGAAACTCTGAAGCAAACAAGCAAAAACAAACAACACCGACAGCTGTGTTCGTGCAGGGATTAAAATAAAATCCACACTTGGCCAGTGCTGTTTCTAGAACCAACCAATTCATTGATTGTTCTGTTTCTTCTGCTAGCTTTGGCATCCATGGGCCACAACAACACGCAAGGTTTCAAGATCTGCAGAACTCTTCATCATTAAGCTAGGAGGTTAAACAAATTCGGGGATAGCGGAAACAGGAAGTCGGGAAACTAGGCTTAATGAGGTGGTCCTGAGGTCTGCTCCGAGGCTAAACAGACTTTGCTCTCTCAGCCGCTCCGCATGCTAAGGAAGTTTCCTTTCTGCTCGCTACACTTCCAACGGGATCTGCAGCCAAAACCCTACGCCTGGAGTATAAATAGGTTTCATCTGATGAACTCATATCAGTAGGAGTCATCGGGATTCTGATGCTGCACGAACCGCGTATTTCGTTTGAAAGGAGATTTCTAGGGAACCTAATTTCCATAGAATTTATTTCCAACTTTTTGAACTGAGATGTCAGATTCGCGTCCCCAACTGAATCGCTTGGTTAATTTACAGATTTGGCACATAAATATCTTTATTCCTGCCTAACCAGAAGCCGACACTGTTAACAGCCAAAACACAAGAACAAAACACATATTCAAACGAGAGCAAGTTAATAGTCTTTTAATTTTGTTCACTTTGAATACGAAAGAAAATTAAAGGAGTTACGGGAAGAAAATCTGTAATTTAACCTGCAATATCAGGACAACTAGGATTTTTTTGTTAATATGATCTCCTATGAACTCTTAATTATATTTTTGTCCTTGAAAAAATGCTTATAAATCCAAGCACTTTTTAAAAAAAATGATTAATGATTCTCTGAATTTCATTTATTTTCGTATGTAAACCCTGTTTTAATTTTTCTCTCTTTAGACAAGCATATTCCTATTTACGACGCTTTACTCTAGGACCTGAAACACTAGAAATAAATTCAGCTGAGTTCTGTGTAATTCACACCACTACTCCATACATTGCTACTATGAAATGATTTCAACTGAATCCCGAGATAGCCAACTGCCTACAAGAGTACAGGAAAGAAACCTCGTGGCAGTGGTTAAATTGTAGTACTGCAGTCAAGACTGGGCTTGGCTAGAGTTTGATCCTGGGTTCAGGTAGCCGGTTTGAGATTGATTTAGTCCTTCTGAGGTTGGTAAACTAAATTCCCAGGTCGCTTGGGCAAGGGCATAGCCTGTATAATTAAATTGTAAACCACCCGGGAGAGTTGTTTAAACACTATGCG